GAAAAAATGTGAAGCAAAACAAGAAAACTTCCATAACCCGTGCCACAGTAAGGGGAAAGTAATGCATTTAAATGTACATGCATATAGTAATAAAAATATAAAACCAAATAATAGTACAATATGAAATGACAAAATAGAAATTTAGTATAAATGCCAAAATGCACTTAAACTTACTAGAGCTATTGAAAGTTCAAAGTTTTTCAGCATGGACCATACAATCCCCAACTCAGGATATACTGCAGTCAGGGACACCAGATGTCTTCCATGTAGTAAGAATACAATATATGTGAATACAAAGAAAATAGACCAATGACACAGTATATAATATTGTAAATTGTATATTAATTAAAAGAAGGTATCCTGCTATATAAATTCCAGAGCATGGACCAGCTATGGGGGTGGAGAGCTTTGGTGGTTTGATCCCTGTGACTGATACAATGGAAATAGGATGATGGATAAAATCAGTGGATATTATAAAAATATAAAATCGAGTTAAAAATTATTAATACAAAGTAAAAACAGCAAAAATACAAATGGAGCAAAAATAACAATTAATCTACACTTAACACGTTTCGCCTCTGGGATTTCTCAAAAGTGTAATTTATTTCTGTGGCTATCCACACTATAAAGGGAAGGTAATTAGACTTTGCTGGTGCAGAGAAAAGAAAGGGAATTATATATAGAAAACCTTAAATGTAGAAAAAAAAGTAAAAATAGTTGAATTAAAAAAACAAGTACTAATAAGGAGAAGAAAATATAGTAAAAATGAAATTAGAAATTAGTTTCTTCTATTACAGATATATACAAAATATTGCTGCCTCCTTGGTGTACATTTGAACTTGTATCTCTTTTTATATCTTCCTTTCTATATATTTGACAATTTATATTATTCTATCTGTATATGAACTTTTTTATATTTGACTAACACAAAGATGGCAGCTGCACCTCTTCCGGATATTATATACGATATTCCATTTCCAGGGAGTGATCCATTACAACATAGACGTCATCAATATGTACCTTCCATGCTTGCGATACATCACTTTCATGTGACCATTGCATCCATAACTATATAACGGAACAGAGGTGGCTCTCTAATTAGGCGGTGTAGGCGAGGCCCCTCCTGACTGCCTGGCCAGCCACCGCAGACACTGGTCTGCAGCTCTGCAATGTGCAGAGCTGCAGACCATGTGTCTCATGAAAACTGGCCAATCAGAGTGTTGCCGCGGATTACCACGGCAACACTCTGATTGGATCTCATGAGATTCATGGTCTGCAGCTCTGCGAGGGACTGACTATACTCATTAGAACAACTACATTAAGCTGTTGTTGTTCTTGTGACTATAGTGTCCCTTTAAGTGTAGATTCATTTTTATTTCTACTCCATTAGTATTTTCATTGTTTTTATTTTATATTAATACAATTTAGCTTCATTTTAAATTTAGATTGTCTCCACTGATTTTATATGGCATCCTGCTTCCATTGTATCTTTGGTAGTGAACAAACCACCAAAGCTCTCCATACCCAGAGTAGGTCCATGCTCTGGATTTTGTAAGCAGGATACCTTATTTTACTTAAAATACTATTTACTAATTACTATATTATACACTGTGCCATTTGTCCATTTTCTTTGTATTCACATATATTCCTATTTTATTATGTGGAAGACATTTGGTGTTGGTGAGATGGGGATTGTACGGTCCATGATGACAAGCCTTGAGCTTTCAGTAGCTCTAGAAAGTGTGAATGCATTTTTGGTATACAGTGAGGGAAAAAAGTATTTGATCCTCTTCTAATTTGGAATGTTTGCCTACTGATAAAGAAATTATCCCTCTTTAATTTTAATGGTAGGTGTATTTTGACAGTGAGAGACAGAATAAAAAAAAATAATAATCCAGAAAAACGCATGACAAGAAAGTTATAAATTGATTTGCATGTCAATGAGTGAAATAAGTAATTGATCCCCTAGCAATCAGCAAGATGTCTGGCTCCCAGGAGACTTCTATACAGGTAACAGGTCTCTTACAGAGAGTGCTCCTAATATCAGCTCGTTACCTGTATAAAAGACATCTGTCCACAGAAGCAATCAATCAATTAGATTCCAAACTCTCCACCATGGCCAAGACCAAAGAGCTGTCCAAGGATGTCAGGGACAAGATTGTAGACCTACACAAGAATGGAATGGGCTCCAAAACGATCGCCAAGCAGCTTGGTGAGAAGGTGACAACAGTTGTGCGATTTTTTGCAAATGGAAGAAACACAAAATAAATCTCAGTCTCCCTTGCGCAGGTGCTCCATGCAAGATCTCACCTTGTGGAGTTTCAATGATAATGAGAACGGTGAGAAATCAGCCCAGAACTATATGGGAGGATCTTGTTATTCATCTCAAGGCAGCTGAGACCATAGTCACGAAGAAAACAATTACCACGTGAAGGACTGAAATCCTGCAGCACCTGCAAGGTCCCCCTGCTCAAGAAAGCACATGTACAGGCCTGTCTGAATTTTGCCAATGAACATCTGAATGATTCAGAGGAGAACTGGGTGAAAGTGTTGTGCTCAGATGAGACCAAAATCGAGCTCTTTGGCATCAACTCAACTCGCCGTGTTTGGAGGAAGAGGAATGCTGCCTATGACCTCAAGAACACCATCCACACTGTCAAACATGGAGGTGGAAACATTATGCTTTGGGGGTGTTTTTTCTGCTAAGGGGACAGGACAACTGCATTGCATCAAAGAGACAATGGACGGGGCCAAATCTTGGGCGAGAACCTCCTTCCCTCAGCCAGGGCATTGAAAATGGATTGTGGATGGGTATTCCAGCGTGACAATGACCCAAAACATACAGCCAAGGCAACAAAGGAGTGGCTCAAGATGAAGCACATTAATATTCTGGAGTGGTTTAGCTAGTCTCCAGACCTTAATCCCATAGAAAATCTATGGAGGGAGCTGAAGGTTCGAGTTGCCAAACGTCAGCCTTGAAACCTTAATGACTTGGAAAGGATCTGTAAAGAGGAGTGGGACAAAATCCCTCCTAAGATGTGTGCAAATCTGGTGGCCAACTACAAGAAATGTCTGACCTCTGTGATTGCCAAAAAGGATTTTGCCACCAAGTACTAAGTTGAAGGGGTCAAATACTTATTTCACTCATTGACATGCAAATCAATTTATAACTTTTTTGACATGTGTTTTTCTGGATTTTGTTTTGTTATTATGTCTCTCACTGTTAAAATACACCTATCATTAAAATTATAGACTGATCATTTCTTTGTCAGTGGGCAAACGTTCAAAATCAGCAGGGGATCTAATACTTTTCCCCCTCACTGTATGTATGTATGTATTTATATACATAACTATGTGTAGGTGATTACAGTGCTCTCCACTTATTGAGGTGCTGTTTATCAATCTTTGTTTGCTTCTTTTACTCACAACATATGATGAATAGGACAGAGGCTGTCCGGAGCTATCTCGAAAATCTATTTCATCCATTTTACTCTGGTCTCTTCTAAGTAGTCTGGATGAACCAATTACCCAAGGTAAGTTATTTTGTGCAATTAAATTTCCTTCAAAAGGCAAATGCCCTGATTCATGCCATGTGAGTTATTAGAAAATATTTGGTCCACATTTATGTTCTTTCTTCCTTCCTTCAAGCCTTCAATTCGGCTTCTGCAAATCACGTTTCTCATGACAAACATTTCAGACACACAAGCGTTACATAGATGAAGTACAGCAAGAAAGGCCAGGAACATAAATGTAACTAATGTCATTCAAATTCACCATTATGACTTCACATGGAGCAATAATTTTTCTTGGTGACACCCATGGGAACATAGTAAGATGACAATGTATATGGCGGTGACAGAAATGTAATATTTTCAAGATGATAACAGAGTAACTTGGGGAAAGCAGACTGGCTAGGTAATTTAGTGTTGTCTGATTGGTATAATCCCATAGCTTTGTATATACAGTTTCAGTTTCAAATATGTATTAGCCAGCATCCTTCAATGAGACAAAATAAATTTGTGGCAAAAAAAAGTGACAAAGAAAAGGGTTAATTATATCTCAAATATAGGAAGATATATCTTAGCAATAGTCTCATAAGATCTAATGGGGATCTGATATGTTGTTGTAGTTATCTTTTGCACATTTACATGCAATGTCCTTTTTGGACTTTGGATCCATTCCTTCCACATAGAGTACAAGTGGTGGATTCATTGTGTGTCACATGTAAACACCCAACACCGTATAGAATGCATAAGATGACCACTAAATGTCCCCCAGACAGTTTTTTGTATTCTCTTTTTCATTCCTAAATAAGATAGCAAATTATATTATTGTTGTATCATTTGAAACAGCTAAGGATCTCTCTGCCAAACATCGTTGTATGTAGCTATGGCACGCTTAGTAATTTCAAACTCAAACTGTGCTAGTCCTGGAAATATAAATAAGGGAAAATAAGGAACAGTTCCTGCAAGTGTAGTTTCCCTTTTGTTCCTGTAAGAACACAAAGTATTTTGGAAGTAAACTAAATTTTGCACTGATGCTACAGAGGTTCAAATAGGATATGCAAATGTCAAATAGGATATGCAAATAAATCAGGCATGGTGCGGGGCTTGGCAGCCAAGATGGCCGGTCGCACTTGCTGACAGCTCCGGCATAAGCGAGCACAATTAAGCCACGAAAGCGAACCAACCTGCTGGGATCGGCTCCCCGGAACTGGAGAACTGACCAGCAGCCGATTAGGCACACAGAGACACCCAAAATCTCGAAGATCCGCCCGCAGGAACCGCAGACCGGCTGTGCGGCCTGGCCTGGAGCGTGCCCTGGTGCAAGGGGTAGACGGCCGATCCCTCGGCACAGAACACGTTTTGCTGGCAGACTCTCTGACAGTTCCGACCTCCCTCCCCCCTCCTTTGGACCGGCGGGGGATATCCCGGTCCCAGCTGGCACTGTTCACTTCCCTGCTGCTGGAGACTCTCCTGCAACCACGAGGCCAAACAAAGATGGCTGCCACAATGCTGCCTCCACAATCTCAAAGCCCAGAATGTCTTGCTGCAAACACTAGGGCTGAGACAGACCTGGCTACTAAGCTTGATACCTTATTTGAGGACTTTTGGAGGAAAATAGCCAGACGCCAGCAGAACTCTACAAACAATGAGCGACACACTGACCCATCTACCAGCAACCAAAGACCAGGGGAACAGGCAGACACTACAGAGCTTCCACGCGGCGGAGGAAAATCCTCCGGTCTGATCCCCCCACCAAACCTCAAACCCCAGCTCCTGCTGAGACTGTTGTCTCTTTGTCTAGACAGGGAGCCCATATGGAAGATGACTCTCGCCAAAGTACCTGGGGGCACCCACCTGCCCAACGACACCCAGCTCACCACTCACTTCACCGGGTTATTCATATCCGACAGCGACAGGTCAAGGCTCCAGCAGAAGACAGGGCCCCAAGATGGAGTCAGACGAAGAAGCATACCCTGCAGCTACACAGGGCAACACACGTGAGGGTGCCACTTCAGTTTAAAGCTGGGACTCTCATAGTGTCAGAGGGGCTGAAGGAAACCTGCCTCACGCTATACGGCTCACTGCGAAGGTCGACATCAGGGCCTGAAAATACCTTCTATTGCGGGACTCTGCTACACCGGTAACTGGCATAGGTTGAGCTGCGCTCCCAAGTTCAAGGCTCATGGACATCATATTGGAATAATCCAGGCTATTAAAGTTAGGGAGTTTTACCCTGCTTAGTACTTATTTCTTATGCATCTTGAAGTGTGGGTGCTGAACGGGCGATAGCCTCAGCCCGGCCCCTGAGATCCTCTGGGAAGAAACAGAATGCGTAACATGTCTAGATGTAAGAGCACCCAAATCCCAAACAGCCACTGAACCCAGGTCATTCCACCCAGACAGATGACAAAACCCCCGGCACCCCTAGGAAGCGGGACAGCTGACCCCGGACGAGGAGGAGCCACAGCCCCCTCATGTATCTGGCGCCAGACCACAGAACCTCCGCTCCCGAAGGCGTAAGATCCAACCACTCGCCCCCTGCCTCCTGTCCCAATGACATATGAGCATCCCCCCCTCCTTATTCCGGGGGGGGGAGGAGACCGTAACCGCGGAGAGAAATCCATGCAGAGACCGGCAGGGTGAACCCAAGGAACCTACCACCCTGACCCCCACCATTCAAGCCCTATGAATCAGTGGCACAAGCACGCCCAGCCTGGCGGCATCTGTAGCCGCCCCTAACCGGACTGAATGCACCCTGAACTCTCCACCATCCTTACCCAGAAATTCTAACCCCAATTGGAGCACCCCAACGACATGGACGCAGGCGAGAAAACCCGGCTTCGAGAACCTAACAAGGGGAGAGGAGGCCGAATAACCCAGGGGCGGAATAGCTCTCACTGAAGGAAAACAGGACACATGTCGGAACCCGGCGCTCCCCCCAATTGGAACAGTATATTTCCAACTATCCTGGGAACCTAGTACATCCTGTTAGGAGCCTAACCATTACCCTGTGCATTCCATCTACCTCAAGAGAAAGCAGAAAGGGCCCGTCAACCCCGCAACATCCAAGAATGGAACAGATTCTATTGATGAATCAGCCAACCGCTACCAACTTACCTTTCCCAAATACAACAGCCGTCAAGTGGCAAAAGCCTGAAGGAAGTCCATTCCGATGCTTACTCGATCCACCAAAACCCCTTCCCATCTGCAGATGACCGTAACATGAACGAGAAGCCGCCAAGGAAATGCTCTCATCCGGCCCGAATGGTCACACTTTACTGTAGCGGGCCCCACGCCACCTCAGAGATCGACCCATGGACCCGCTTCATCAGTCTGCTAGACCGAACGACCATGTCTCCACTGCCTTATAATTTGGCCCCGCAGAGCCCCCCTGCCTGGAGTACCTCCTACCGTGAACAAGATAGAACCCCCGGGAAAAACCCTGCCTGACCAGACACTTCCAGACTCAAGCAGCGCCGAGCCAGGCGCCGCAACCAGGGTACCACCGGGGTAGAGGGTACTGTAACATGATGTAGACAGCCTGCACCCCCCCACGATTGTCTCAATGGAAGAACTACCCAATTGTCCGGGAGTTGGGTACCCCACGCCTACCATGCCACCAGAATGGGGAAGCTCCAAAACAGCCAGAGTCTGCAAGAGCCCCGATGCTTGCCAGCTTACTGAGCAAGAGTCAGCACACCATGGAAAAAAAACCAAATAGGCCTCAAAAGCCCCCAAACCCACTGCAGCGGCAACAGGTGGAAGTCAGTGGAAGGGACTTAGGGGGCCTGATTGCACAAGCCACCGTTAATGGAGGCCCAAAAGGAAAACCCCATACCGCCCCAAGGGCAACACCGACAGGCAACCGCCATAAACACTACCCCAAGAAAACACCACAGCAGCAGAGTGCGACGTGCGACACTGTCGGCCCCACACATAAGCGACATTAAGAGCCACCCGTGTGGAGGCACATAGCCACATAACACTGACTGTCAGAAATACGGCCCGGAAAACAATAACCTGCCGGGCGCATCGGCAACAGCCGGGAATCCGATTCCACTGCTGCCTTTGTCAGCAAGGCCCCCAGAGCCCTGCAGCCCTAACCACGCGGACCGTTGTGTCATGCCCTCACATACCTAACCCCGTGGATGGAACGACAACCGAGTAAATAAGAAATCATGTGATATTGACCCTGCCCCTCTACAGACATTATGTCCCAAGAGACTCCAGACACGTGAAGCCTCGGACCCAGGCTCCACCTCCTCAACCGGGCCCGAGGAGCAGCATCGGGGGGGGAGGGGGTAGCGGAGCTGGTGGGCAGGAATGCTGTCTGGCACCATCGAGGCACCCAGGAGCAGGGGCCACAGGGAAGGCCCCAGATGGATTAAGCCAGGCCGCGGGGGTGGGAACCCACATCAGCAGCCACCCAGAGGAGGAGGGGGGCAGGGGCCACAGGGAAGGCCCAAGAGGGACCCAGGCCACGGGGGGGGGAGCACCCACACCAGCAGCCATCCCCAGGGGAGAGGATCCAGGAGAGGAGAGCACCTGAATCAGGAGTCACTGGCCACCATCCACGCTGCAGCAGCTCTGAGGAAAGCCAGCAAGCCTCAACCTCCATCCCTCAAGCTGTGAAACTACAGGCCCAGGCAAATAGGAGCAGCAGGACAGGAAGCTGTTTGCTGGCCCGAATCCCAAGTGACACTGAGGTAAGACCTCCCCCACACTAACTTACACAGAACATAATCCCACCCACAACACTCTTTCCCAACCAATCCCATGCATCTATCCCCACACTCCTATATGTGCCCTTGTCCGCTTAGCTGCGCTATCTCTCCAGGGCCTATGCCCTGATAAGCTAAATAATCACAGTTAAACTTAGAAGGTCGTGCTGGCTACAGCTGTAGACTCTTGTTTAAGAATGCTAATACCTGCTGAAATATAAAAATTGTGCACGTATCCTCGACTACCCCATTGTTACATGTGTCTCAACAATGCATGAGGAATGCCGTTGGGGTACCTCATGCATGTATGTTAACTTAATATAATAATACCATCACTACTGTAAGTTAATATGCACTGCAAAAAAAATAAAAAATCAGGCATGCATTGAAAAGAAGGCCAACAAGCTAGACCTATTGGTTCCCTCCAAGGCGTGGGGAAGGTTGGGACTGGGTGGTACTATATTGCTTTAGGCGTCCTTTTCTAAAGAGGTAATAATGATCATAGCCAGCTATGGGGTTTGAGATGCTTTACCTCCATTGTCAGCAAAAAAGTTGATATATAAGTCTGTGATGCCACTTCATTTGTAACCTTGCTGTTCCTCATTGTCTTTGTTTTCCTATTTCATCTGTATCTAATTTATGTGAAAATGAAGATTGCAAAAAAATATTAAAAATATATTGTTTTGCTTTTTGTGGTGTGAATATCATTGATTTGTGTATATTTTGAGCATGTGTCAGAATATATTTTACGATAATTAACTGTAGTTTTCTTGAAGCTTTTTTAGTATTGGTTCTAATGTAACTTTACTTAAAGGTGCAGCTTCCTAAATGGAATTCAGTCAACAAACTGGAGCTTTTCAGCGATCCTATCCCCAGGCAATTGAATGTCGAGAGACACCGTAGCAGTATTAGGCAACCTAAGGCCACCCAGCAGTTGGTGAGCTAAAATGGTTAAGGTCATCTGCCCTGTAGGTATGCCACAGAGATATATGGAGAGTCAATAAATAAGTAATTTACCAACCACAGTTTCATCACATCTACAGTATGTATTTATCTATATTTCTGCGGAAACAATCACCTCTGTTTGGGTATTACAAAATGAATTGACAGATTATGGTTTAGCTTTAAATTTGAAGTCAAATGTTATTCCTAATATTGTCACAAGAGGGAGAGCTACTACATGAAATCTTTTTTTACTGGAGCATATACCCTTTACATGACAATATAACTATATAATTACATTATTCTATAAACCAGCTGTAATACTGTCACATAAAGAGTGTACCCCTTGTAATATTATAACAAAATGAAGTGTCAGTCATTACATTCACAAAACTGGATCATTTTCAAATATTTTAAACATTCGTTTTATTGACTTGACTATTATGAGACATTTGAAGCATGTACAATGTTGTAGAAACAAATTATTATAATAACATGTTATAAATATATATATTCTATAGTTAACATAAGTACATATTTTTCAACACAACTATGATATAATGCACATGTGAAAACTGTGAAGACAAAATATTATGAGGAAAAAAAATCAAAAGTGCATAATTTGTATAATGTTCAGTTTTGCAATATTCCAGATAATACTTTTGGTTCAGTGTGTAATTGCACCTTTAATATTTCCATAGATTGAAACGACATAATTTGCTCCAAAAATAGTAGTTACCAAACATAGGCCTTTTTGGATACATTTTTCAAATAAACTTTAAAAATATTACAAATAATTATTAAAATATAAAAAAATATATATTACGTATAAAATATATCAATATAACAAAAATATAAAAAGATTAAAATGTTTTTCAAAGTAATCATTTAAGTAAATCATTTTAAAACGTGTCAATATTAAATAATTTGAAAAGCTTATCCAAAAAATATTAAATCAAGGCCATTTTTTCCTTTATGTACCAGCGAGTGTATTAAAAAGAAACCCAAATGTAGTGTAGATCAGCCAAATTTGGTTAAAATAACTGAATTTAAATCAATTTTGCAATCCTCATATTTACCTATGCTCAATCTCATTAAAATTCTGTTATATCAGCTAAAAGAGTATTTCTAATTCAGTACCATCCAGTGTCTTTTTTTTTTTTTTAATCAATAAGTCTCACACGTGAAACCTATATAAAATTTGCACATTTACCAATAAACTTCACTCTGAAGAGATTAGATAGGAGACAAACTCACAAAATAACTTCACCCGCTTTTTGCACACAAATCTACAGAAAAATGCCATATTATAATGTTTATAAGCCAAAAAATAA